TTCACACCAGCCCAACTGAGCTGAGCTGAGCTGAGGAAACATTTCTTCAACTCGGGTTTTTTATGTGAGTCTGCAGCAAAATCAGAACTTTCTATGTTTGTTTTGGTAATTTAATTCGGTGACTTTGGTGTGCCAACAATTATTTTGTAATTAGGTCAAGGATTTTTATCGGCTCTGCGGCTAAAATCTGGTACGTGTGTGCCCCTTGAGCAGTTGGCCAAATGAAATGCTCGCGCCAAATGTGTTGTAAGTAATTGCGGCATGCAAACATAATGCCAAATGCCAAAAACCCAATACCCAATGCCCAATTGGCCAGCCAAACTGTACAAATGTCAAATAAGCCCAAATTGCTCACTTCATATTTTGTTATAGAACTTAATTGGGGCTTTTGATAGAGATAAGGGAGGGAAGAAGCTTTTCTACAACGAATTGGGAAAGTTTGGTATTCCATTTGAGTGTTTTACAACACTAAAAGTTTGTATTCGTGATTTTAGAGAACTAGCATCACAGAGTTATAAGCTAGCATATTTTTAGTATTTATTTTGAGTGTTTTACAGCACTGAAATAATTAATTCCACTTTTAAAAGTTTATTTTTCAACTTTTAAGTTGCCGGAAGAAAAATTTACATGCCTCTACGTATTACTTCTTGCGGCTAAGCGAACTTTCCAACACTGCTTACATGACAATTTGCTCATATTATATTCATTTTGATGCAATATCGTAACACAAAATTAATAAAAGAATTGTTAAGTATTTAAATCCAAGCAAGCATTGTCATATCTTTAGTTTACTCAGCAAGCAGCGTATTTTACAACACTGTCAACCATTTTCTAACCATTTTCTAATCCTATGCCAATTCCAAACGAGCAATTGATGGCTTTCGAAATCTATTTCCTGATCAAATTGAAAATAAGTTGGTTACTTTTTATACATTTTGATGAGTTTTCCAACACTCCCACAATACTATTAAGATTGACTTTATATATAGTATATTCCGCTTCATATTTTCATTGAAGATTAAAATCTAATTCCATTGTCACGCTGGTTCTTCATTTTCTACTCAATCATTTCCCGCTCAAAATAGATTTGCAATTTTTGTGCTGGCGCCTCAGAGTATGCAGCATAAAATCAGTGAACAAGAAATTACAGAATATGAATCCTCGCAATGGCCCCCGCTGCGCTGATGCCCCACGTGAGACCACATTCCTCGGCGCCGTTGCGTGTCGCCTGAGCTAGAAACAATTGTTGGCCAAGCTCTGTTCGGTTGACCCACAGCGGCGCTTCTAAGTTTAAGTGGCAGTTGAGCGTCCCGCCGGCGATTTGGCCGTCAATTCGTGTGCTGGGGCTGGTGCGTGGACCGCAGCCCCCCGGCCCGACTCCGCGCTTCAGGAGCAACCCCTCTCACAGCTACGCCCCCGCATGAGATTTAATTATGCGGTTTTTATCGATTTGACACAATTCCAGAAGCGGTTTGCTCTGCTTCCTCTTCGCGTTTATTTTTTGCCTATTTGCTTTCTCAGCTGGTTCCGAATGGCCATATCTTGGTAATTTAAGACGGCTCCGCGAGCTTAAACACTCAACACTCGATACTCACGTTATTCCGTGCTCCAACATCGGCGCCCAGTTCAATCATGCGATCCATTATCGCCGTCCTGTTATCCTTCGTGGCATACATCAAGGGAGTCATGCCGGTGTTCTGAAACCACAAACAAAATTAAGCACAGATATCAGTGAAAGTAAATCTTTGTGAACAGTGAATGCAAATGCAAATATATATTATAAAATTAAAATATATATAATTAAAATAAATATATATATAAAAAATATATATATATAAATACAAAAATATTTAAAAGGAAATTTAAATGCCTTTAGTTATAAATTTCAAATTAATTAAAAAATATATTTTAAAAAAATTTCATAAATTTAAATTTGATAGTAGGACGACATAGTTTTTATTGGGCTAGTTTAAACTATTTTTAACTGCACTTTTGACTGTCATTTACTTGTCAAATTTTGAATGTGTATCCATAAGTTGTGACATTTTCAATGTGAAAGTCTTCAGAAGTTCTCTTTATAACAAATTCTACTCTATCTATAAAGCCAGCAGATATATTTCATATTTATGCACTTTCAAATCAAGCCAAGAATATAAAACTTAGTTAAGCCAAGTAAGAAATAGGCATTGGCATGATATACTACATACATATATATATACTATAATATATATACTACATCTTCAACATTCTTAAACTTGGCTAAAAGTTAAACTAATATCTACAAGATTATTTTCATGTTAAATATTTTATCTTATTTTCAGAACACCTAAACTTTTAGCCTAATTGACAATGCCATCATAATTATATATATATATATATTATTATTTTTTTTGTTTAGCTTGTTCCATTCTCGTTGATAAGACCTCATTTTCACCTCATTTGTTCGTTTTTTTTTTTGCGTAATTTTCATAATTAAAACCAAATTAAGTCCAAAATAATAACAATTTCCTAGTCCTGTCTGGCAGCCAAAAATATGCCAGAAATAGTTGCCAAATAAACTAAATGGGAACAAAATTTAGGAAAAGCTGGACGACTTAAATATGCCCTCTATTTATATATTTATTACCAAGAGAGAGAGCGTAAGCAATGCTCACATAAGAATTTGCATTATTTATACAAGCTAAAGGTAAATAAATTTTAGTAACTCATGTCTATAGATCCCTTTTGATAATGTAATTGAAAACCGACAATATTTATTAGCTCGAACTGCAGCAAGGTGAGTGTGCTGCTCATACAAGCCACTATGCACTTGCATGTCTACAGGGTAGCATTGGCTATAGTCTAACAAAAGTTGTATATGTTAATGATGCCTTTCGCACAGTGAAATAATTTACATGAGAGGCAACCCTTTGGCCCACCCTCGCTTGGCTCGTTGCTATTGTTGCTGCCCATTATTTCTGTCTACATTCCAATCGGGCATTTGCATTCAGACTTCTATTATATTTTCTGTTGCCCTGCCTGCCTGGCTGCCTGGCTGCTTGCATTTTATTGTCAGTTGTTGGGTCGTTGTTGGGCAAAGGCGGTCTCAAGCCTTGCAACGTTAATTTTATGTCAACGACTTTTGCGTTTGATATTTTTATGGTAAATTGAAATCGAAGCGCTTCAATTTCGATGCTTTATGAGTTTATTCGGTATTCGGGGGTCGTCAGCGCAACTTGTGGCAGGACGTGGCCTGCCATTGCCTTGGCAGCCAAACATTTGGGCCGCGCTATCAAATAACACAAAGCAACACACACACCAACACACACACACACACACACATCTCCGTTTAGCTACTGTGTCGTTATTTTGGCTAGTAAACAACCAACAACAACTGAAATCCCGCCGTCGAGCCGCAGTTGGGGACGTTGATAAGGGCGACGTCGACTTTCGATGGGCTCCAAAATTGATTTTACAAAGTCCTGTACCCACTCACTAAGCTCCTCTCTCACTCACACATACACACACTCTCTCTCTCTCTCTCTCTCTCTTTGTCTTATTGTCTTACCATATCGTGCACTCCGGCTAGCGGTATGTGATTGCCATCTTCCCCCACATTGGCCACATATTTCTCCAGTTTCTTGAGCTCCGCTTCGATGGGCGTCCACTCGCTCTTCATAGCCAGTCCGAGCACCTTGTTCGCCGTGTCCCGTATAGAGGCGCCCGCGCTGGGTGGCTTGGGCGCTGGAAACAGATCGGAATCCTTTTTGTCGCCATTGCTGGAGCTGTCATCTTTGGGGTCCGAGTCGGCTTTGCTGGCGGGCGTTGCACGCTCGCTGGTATTGGCCGAATCGTCCGGCGGCCCCGTCAATGAGGAGGGCGTCTTGCGGCCAACGCCGGCGCCACCAGCGCCGCCGCGCCCACCGCGTCCGCCACGAGGCTGCGACATTCCACTTGGCTCAGACGCTCAAAACTCTGCGTCTCGACCACTGGCCATTACACAACCAGGCACAAAGGAGGCGAGACTGCAACTTATTGTTACTTATTGTTGCAAGAATTGTTTATGCTGTTCGCTGTCGCGCTCTAACGTGTACGTTGCATAGTGTGTGCCCTGCACTGGCATTGCACAATTATGTTATTTGTTGTTTTACCAATATTTGTTGCCAACAATTTGCATTTTCATTGGTAACACACACACACACACACGACTTGGTTGCTTTTTTCGTATGTTTCCTCTACAACAACAGCAACAACAACAACAACAACAACCAAACACACATCCGCTTTACTATTATTATTGCTTTTGGGTTTCTTTTTCGGCTGCTTTCTTCGCTTTCTTCACTTTTACTACACAATTTTATATGTTTAGCCTTATTTTTATGGCTCCTTTTCTGGTTGCGTGTGCGTCTCACTTTAGCGCCGTTGCCGTTGCCGCTGCCGCTGCCGCTGCCGTTGCCGTCGCCGTCGGCCGTCTTGCTGGGCAAATGTTCGACTGCGAGTGCAAAATGAGCCAACAACCGTCTGCCACGAGCTTCTGCGAGTTTCTGATTTGCCAGTGGAAATTCCTTTTGCCACTTTACGTGGCAAGCCCCATTGTTGCGCACCTTGGCAACATGACGAAGCACCTCGGTAGGTGTGGGGCGCCACCAAGTGGCGTCCTCTGAGGCGCACGCGTTTGTTTACAATTGTTGATTCCACGAATGCCTGACACAGTTTTTGGCGCGAAAATCTCACCCTAGCGAACTCTCAACCTTCGTCCAGTTCGGCAAGCAAAGACTTGCCCAGACTCCTCCTGGAGATCAATGTTTATTAGGATAAAGAAACAGCTTTAGCTTCTACAATTAGATTACCTAAAGCAATGTTTACTTAGTAAGTTGTCAAAATTTGTCTAAATAAAATAAAAAATGTTAAATGCTTCGAAGGAATTTCGTGGGCGGAGGGACTCCGCCCGATCTACTGACTCGCGTGTTCGAAGAGACTCAATGCGGTCGATGACGTCACGACGGAGCGCCAAAATAAATATGCAGCGCAGCTCCTCACGATCCATTGACGACGAGTCGTTGTTTGTGCCGCCAAGCAAATGCCGCTGCGAAAAGTGTCCGCTGCACCACATAAGCAAACCGGTTCAGAGTGAACGCGACCGCATCTTCTCGAACAAGCAGAGCGTGCTGAAAGCGATCGAGAATAGCATCGACGATGTGACCAGCGATCTGGAACAACTGGTCATGTTCCAATCAGTGTCAGTGGAGCCGTCGATGCTTTTGGAGAGCTGTAAGGCCATTGAGTGGATATCGAGTCGCTTGGCCGAATTGAAGTTCAAGACCTATGAGTATCCCATACCGGACAATCCGGCCAATTGTTTTGTGGATCCCCATCAGAAGGTGGTCTTCGCCAAATACTTCTCCTCGCCCACTAAGAAAACGCTGCTGATCTATGGCCACTTAGATGTGCTTCCAGTCAAGGCCGATTGCTGGCTGAGCGATCCCTTCAGGTTGGTCGTCAAGGATAATATGTTCTATGGTCGGGGCGTCACTTCCGGCAAAGGCATGCTTGTGGGCTGGCTGCAGGCCATCGAATGCTGGCTCAAAATCCACGGGGATCTGCCCCTCAATATCAAATTCATTGTGGACATGCTACACGAGGTGGGCAGCACCGGTCTGCAGGACTACATCACCTCGAGAAGTGAATTCTTTCTGGATGTCGACTACATGGTATTTGATGTCAATTCGTGGCTGAATAATGCGCAGCCCGTCGTCGCCTGCAGCCTCGCTGGTTGGGCGTACTTTGGCATTGAGGTGCGCGGCGCCAACAAGAATCTAGAGAGTGGCCTAGCCAGTGGGCTCGTCTTTGAGCCAATGGTTGATCTCTGTCATTTTATGAATAACCTGGTCAACGCTGAACATGAGATTCAAATACCCGGCATCGAGAGCAATGTGAAGCGCCTAACCACGCCTGAATGGCATCTCCTCGAATCAGCCGAATTTCGAACCTACGAATACAGGGAAGATCTCTTTGTGCGCCGACTCAGGTATGAAGATAACAAGGTCGAGCTTCTACAGAATCGTTGGTGCAAGCCAACACTGAGCATGCACGGGGTCGAGGGCGCGGACGTCCATCCGGGATGTCGTCAAATTCTGCCCATGAAAGTGATGGGCAAGTTCTCCATTAAACTGGTGCCCGACCAGGAATTATCGCAAGTGATCGACAGCGTTAAAGATTTTTTACTGAGCTTGAAAGCCGAACAAAATGTGAACACCCTGCTCAATGTGCATTTGCTCGATGGCATCGACCCGTGTTCCTGGGCCCAGGACTCCAAACTAATGAAAGTTGTCTGTCGCGCCCTCGAATCTGTCTACGAAAGTGAGCCGATTACCACGAGTGCCATACCCATCTGTCTGCCCATTGCCAACGTGCTGCAAAAGCTGATCAACAAGCCCGTCATCCTGATGCCCTACTCAAGGCGCACAGACAAGCATCACAATGAGAACGAGCGCATTGAGAGCTTGAGCGTCATGCGGCATGCCAAAGCCTGTTCCACGCTGTTCGTCGAGCTGTCTTCGCTGCGCTCCAAATGCAAGTGCAATATCATCCAACAGTACTGTAATCTGCGTGGCGTTCAGGAGATATTGGACGCCGGACGCATCAGTGTTGACAAAAACGAAGGCGCCAACAGATGGAAGTTCTTAAACAAATTAAGAAACGCCGAGAGTGATTCGCCCAAATCGAAATCCAGGAATAGTTTCAAGAAATTCTTATCATCGACCTTCGGCTGCGCGAAAAAACCGAAGAAGCGCTCGACCAAATCGAAATAACTGGGTATTTCCTATATATGTTACGTATATTTGGCCCTTAAGTTACTGAATATGTCATCAAAGTATTCTTCGCTCAGTGCTTGATTAAGATTTGTTTAGATCAATGTTACAACGTGGAAATGTGTCGAGTAAATATTAAACAGGCATTGAGCGAATCATACTTAAACAAGCTCACTTAGTTGTTTCATCTATCGATGGCTTAGATATCTATTGATGGGATTCTATACATTATGAACAACGGTCGAATCTCCATTACATTTTACAGATCCTAGTGGCCCTGCTTCTACTTGGAATTCATACTTGATTCAGATTTCATTTTAGTAGACAAATCGAAATTGGTAGATGTTTTGGGGAAAATTGGGAAAACTGTTCTAGTTAGTAGTGAAAATGATCTGTTGGGGCGAAGAAAACTGCTGCGGCGTTTTTATTGATCGTGACAAAAGTGATCGTTGCAATTGTCTGCGCGACTACTGCATCCGAGACTATCCCCCAAACGAGCGGATAACCGTGGATGAGCGAGACTGTAGCATGGTGATAAATTGCTTGTATGACAAACAAGATGAAAATATGTGCTACACAAACGAAATACTGTCGATCAAAAATTTATTGGACGATCCCAAACACTTACATGAATCTAAGCAGCTGATCGATCGATTGGCACAGCGCCTAACCGAGCTCGAGTTCGATGTGGAGGTGGTGACGGTGAAGCCCCAGCAAAACTTGAAGACAACGCATTTTATGATATTCGCCAATTATTTTTCTACACCCGCCAAGAACGTGGTGCTCATTTATGGGAGTGTGGCTGTGCCACATGTTAACGCACATGATTGGACCCACTATCCCTTTAAGCTGACCCAAGTGAATAAGGATCTCTTCGGCAATGGGTTGACTTCCACAAAGGGTCCCGTGCTGTGCTGGATATACGCAGTTCAAGCCTGGATCGAAGCAATGAAGGATCTGCCGGTCAATGTAAGGTTCATTTTCGATACCTTTGACGACGCCTACAATCAGGCACTGCGAGAGATCATTAGTGATCGTCAGATTTTCTTCAAGGGCGTGGATCTGTTGATAACATCCACCAATCTATGGATAACACCGACAACCCCACTGCTAACCACCAGCCACAGCGGCTATATATACTTTGAACTAGAGGTGAAAGAGAAGGAAAAGGAGAAGAACAAAGATGATTGCGGGCCGACAGGGTCCTCGAAGAGAGCAACACGAGAGCCCATGGCAGGGTCGCCGAACGGAGCAGCACAAGAGCCCATGGCTGAGTCCCCAAAAACACCATCACGGGAGTCCATGGAGAAGTCCCCGGAAAGACCAGCACAAGAGCCCATGGCAGGGACCCCGAAAGGACCAGCACGAGAGCCCATGGCAGGGACCCCGAAAGGACCAGCACAAGAGCCCATGGCAGGGACCCCGAAAGGACCAGCACGAGAGCCCACGGCAGGGACCCCGAAAAGACCAGCACGAGAGCCCATTGCAGAGCTCTGCCTATTGATGAACACGCTCAACGATCCAAGGAGCAAATTGGCAAAAGATCTCAACCGTCATATGCTGCCCATCACACATTGCGACTGGGACATAATGTCCACAGCCGAAATGGGCATAATGGAATTCAAAGAGAAGCATAACATCGAGCGTTTGCGACACGAGGAGTCGCAGGCGATGTTTCTCAAGTACCGTTTTTGCATGCCTGGGCTGTCCTTTCACAAAGTGGAGCACCGCGTGTATAGCGGAATGCGTGAGTTTTATACGCCCAAACGCGTCGTGGCCAGTTTTTCCCTAAAGCTGGTGCCCGATCAGAGCATTAAGTACCACACATTCTTAGTCAAAGAGCACTTGGACGATGCCTACCATCGGTTGAAATGCGAGAATGACGCATATTTACAGGTCACCGACTTCCTGAAGCCCATCAACGAAGCAAGGTGGGCGCCCTTTAATCTGGCTGCGAAACGTACGTACGAGCGCGTATTCGGGGTCCAAGCAGCCATTCCCGATACCATGTGCGTCTGCATGCCCATGCTGAACGAGCTGCGCAAGTACTGCATGTCCAATGCCCAGGTGATGGGTATGCCCTTCTGCGATGTGCACACGCATCTCGGCCAGCCGAACGAGGGCTTGAAGCGCGACCATTTCCTGAAGAATCTGGAACTGTTTGCCACAATGCTGTTCGAGGTGGCACTCGTGCCACCCGAATGCAAATGCACAGAGGTCAATGAGTTTTGCTACCAGAAGGGCAAAGCGGGTTATCGCGATTTTATACGTATGATGCGCCCACGAGAACTTCTCCTCACAGATGTCCTCTATGAGCTGGACGAGGCTCAGATTGAGAAAGTAGCCGTCAACAAAAGGGACTATCCCAACCTAGCACAAATGCTGTTGGGAAAGAGGAAAGTCGAGAGCTGAGTCCCACCCCTGCCTCAGTCAGTCAATTCTCCCGCCATCAAATAGTTTCTTTCTTAATTCCGTCAATTCAATTGTGAGTTCAATTTGTGAGTAGTCTGTACAGTTAAAGTCGCCAACGCCAAACCAATAAAATTTGTTCAATTATGATGCTAATGCCCCCGAAAATAGAAAAAAAAATTGATAAGAATTTCTTAGATTGCCAGCTTAACAAGCCTCGAAAACACGAACGATAACTATACTTGTTTAGGGGAAAGATAATGAAGAGCAGTCAACTGCCACATACTCTGTATCGGTCTGACTAACAAGTGTAGTTCCCTTAATAATTTAAAAATCAATTTAGACTTGCCTAAGTCAATAAAAAATATCTAAAATAATAATAATAAGCCCATCACTTAACTGCCTTATATGGCAAGTATATGGCAGATATAAGTTTCAAATCAGCTTCCATAAAATAGTGAAAACAACAAAGCCAATATACCTCTGCTCCTTCCAAAAAAAGCGTATAGCTAAGCATTCTAAATATATATATTTCTTGGAAATATTCCAAACGGCCAGACGGTGGTCAGACACAGACCAACAATACAACAAATATTAACTTGATATGATAAGAAGTATAAAAGTTTAATTCTTGATTAGCATAGCAGCAGAGCTTTGGAATATTTTAGATAATTGGAGAACGACCACGCGACGTGCGAGGGCTAATTTAGAAATGAGATTCGCGAGAAGCAGAGCAAATGAATACAAATTGAGATTTAATGAAATGAATAAATAAACTAGGCAAAAGGAACAGCAAAACTAATTGAACTTAAGGTGCGGACTTGATTGCCTAAGTATTACTATTTCACTAGAAGAAAACTTGCTAGCATTGTTTAGGAATGCTTTGATGTATTATATTATATAAGGAACCAAAATAAACATATATTTAGCTCCATAGACTGTAAGAGGAGATTAGACAAACTATGCGATATGCTAGGATTCATTCGTATAAAGGTATATATATTATGTATATATATAGTAAATATAGGTTTAAATAATATATTGATTTTTTTTTTTTATTTATTTATTTTTTTGATATTTTATTTTTTTTTTTTTATTTCTAGTCATTTTTCTATTTTTAAGAGAGAAAATGGTCATAAATATTCTTTTTATAATATATATATAATATGTAAATATTTAATATTTATGTGCAAAAATATGTTAGTTCTCTTCCTATGACAAGCATTAAGCACACTTTATAACTAATTCAACTATATCACAAGGAGGTAAATAAACTAAAATGCTATTAAATATTAATTTTATGACATATATAAGAATAATAAGTTTAGAGTAATTAACAATTTTAAAGAGAACAATATAGAACATAACTGATCATTATTCCGCATGACCATTATCGGTAATTATTATAACAATTAGTGTTTATTGTTATTATGCTCTTAACATTTAAACAATTAAATATTGCATATTTATTAAATAAATGGACAATGATCAAAAACAAAAAACTTAAATATATATTCAAATATTTACCAAACAAAAATACCTTAAATATATTTATTTAAAAAATTACAATATTTATTAAATAAGTACAAATTATTTAAGCTTAAACAATTTAACAAAAAAAAAAACTTAAATTTATTCACCATTTGCACTGAACAACACACCAATTGACCTAGCCCAGGTCATGAACTTCACTGATCGCCCACCGGCGCTGCTGCGCCCTTTTATACCCAAAAGTCACTCAAGAGGCAACTCCAGCAGAGCCCTGAGACCTTTTTGAGTTAAAGTCAGAAGCAGAAGGAAGAGCGAACAGACTGAGCTAGCTAAGTACACGCCACTTGTCATTCTCATCGGGAATCTGCATAGCATGTATACTTCATGTACATGTATGTGAATCAAATGTGTTATTTCGGTCTGCTGTTGAGCACATTTATTAGTTTTTTACTCATTTTACATGAAACAAAAGACGACAAATTATATAAACAGCTACATTCCGATCATATATATATTTATATATTATATAATTTCTCAGCACTTTTATTACATATAATAAACATATAAATAAATACAATACAACAGTTGAAGGCTATAGCTCTTAAATAATAATTTCATTTCGATCATATTGTTAATTGAGATGAAGATTAGGACGTACAAACAGACAGACGGACAGAACTAAATCGTCATGATCAAGAATATTTATACTTTATGAGGTCTGCCGCGCCCCCTTCTGGCCGTTACATACATTTTAATAAACCGTTTTCAATGGTTTAACGTGCATATGTATATAAATCCACGAAAACTAATCCAATAAAAAGTAGCGCAACATACTGTGAACACATACATAAGTACATATAAATACACATACATAATATGTGTGCATATTCCGTCCTATTTATAGGTACGCACACGCTTTACCAATTGGTTTCAATTATCTATTATTTAGTATCTAACACTCAATTTTTATTCAATTTGCAAACACCACTGTGCTATGCTTTAAAGTTATATGAGTATATACATATGTATATGCATACATATCAGTGTATTTCAGTGTATTGAAAGCTAAGCAATTCAAACATAATAAATCAAGTTAAAAAAAAAAAAAACAAATACAAAAGCAGAACCACAGCGAAACCAGTTCCCATCGAGCCCAATAATAATAAAAGCATCGCGAGTAAAAAAGCTTTCGTAATTCAAAAGCACAAAAATCGAAAAGAGTAAAAAACACACGACGCAAAAGCCGGCATAGAGCACATAAAAGCAAAGACACAGAAATACAAACAAGAAAGCGGAAAACGAATAAGACAAATAACGCGACACGTGTCGAACGTAGAATGCGAGAATCAAAATACAAACGGCGATAATAAGCAAAACAAACCGCGATAAAATCGGCATTGATCTTCAAGCGAAAACTAATGTAAATATGAAAATATATATAAATAGGAACAGCCGATGAGAAAAGGTTGCGTGCGTCGGGTCTCAAATACCCTATCGTAGTGATAATAAAATTATTAATAGGTTGCTTAGTATAACTTTTCTTAAAAAGTTAAAAAATTAATACAAATTTTTAACTACCTATATTTGTGTATATATATTTATATACAAACATGAATATATTATATATGTGTTAATGTATATATATATTTTTAAATTAGCATAAATTATTTGCTTTATTTTAGTTAGTATGACAAATTAAACTTCATATTTTTATTTGTATAGGAAAGTGTAGCAAATCTGCTATAATACCCTATTTGTATGCTCAATCTTAACGGCTTTTGAGGTAGGCAAATGTCGCCCTATGATCTATTACACCTACTCAACTTTAATATACCCACTCTACTTTTGCTTTGCCCTATCTAATAGTATAAAAAATCATTGTGCTCTACATTCACATTCTCTCTCTCCCTTTTCATGTCTACCATTCTCTCGCTCTCTATAAGTTTAGCAAGGCGATATTGACTGCAATAAGCGAGGTCTGCGCTTCCCCAGTTCGCGGCTGTACGCGGCGAATAGTGGACGTGTATGTCCGAAATAAATTTAAATTTAAATTCGAAAAAGACTGCGCAAATTGTTAATGCAAAATTACACTTGAAAAGTTATGAAAAGTGATCTATTGGTTTTTTAAGTGTGCTCAAAAGACATTCATTTCGTTCAGTGTACAAGATGCTCAACAAGAAGCTACAAATCGTCGCCAGGCATGTGCTGAGGCAGAGCTTGGGCCACAAGGCTCTACGCTGGTAAGTGCGTCGTCTTAGCTGAGACATAAACCCATACGCATGCATATATATACATATATATAAATCAAGGTCAAGTCGCCAGGACTTCAGCTGATGTAAAGAATTACTTCAACTGCGCATATGCTCGCAGCTGTTTAAATTAGTTTATCTTAGATATTTATGAATTCGGGGTTGTTCCTCTCCACGTCAGCTTCTTTGTATTGTCAGAGAAATTACGTAATATTCCAATAAACAATATGCAAAATTCTTTGCTTTTAACGAGCGGCTCAATTGTGCAGAGAAACTGACGGACTTTTGGATTAGCAATTAATTGTTTAACAAATATGTATATTTTCATATTGTTTCATATTGTTTGAAGCACCTGTTGCTAACAGTTGTTAACAGTTGATAACTTTTAGAACAGCACTTGATACCTGAAACACATTTTGCTTTATTTTTACGAATTATTAAATATTGTGATATAATGGATTTTGCTTATAAGTAAATACGCAATTATCAAGATAAGCAAAGTCATGTAACTAACAACATGCCTTTATATATATATGTATGTATGTACATACATACATACATACATGCGTACACACATATACATGTCTGACGCTCCATGCTAAGCCAAACAAAAACAATAGAAGAAAAGTTGAAGAGAAGTTACTGTAAACAGAGCGCCATAATATGCTTGCCATAAACTATTTTTGGATCAAGCTTTTATAGCTTTTTCTTAGCTTAACAGCTCTTTAGATAAGACACCCAACCGGAAGCAAAGACACAAACCGCGGCAAATATGCTAACAATTCCAGTATATGAGACTGCTATAAATGTACCCTGTAAAAATCGGACATGAAAGCTTATAAAATTTTATGAATATCTAATTTTGTTTTATATACTAAGATAAGATAAAGTAGCCATTATTTTATCGCAACATATGGCAGTTATATAATATCAAAATGTATGAAAAACCTCAAATTTTGCTGGCTATAGAAAATTGTCTCAAATCTAGAGAAGGTTAGAAAAGGTTAGACGATGGTTTTTGATAATACTTATAGAATTATATAATTTATAATATATGTATACTTATAGAATTATATAATTTATAATATATTTATAACATATTTATAGACATGTTGCATTAGATCGGAAAACTTGAAGTCCATTTAATTTTCTAATACCCCACATATAATATATATATATTCATGACGAATCTCTCGATCTCTGCATTGCAGGTTATCCACATCGAGTCCAGCCTTCAGTAGCTACATACATCACATAGGCAAGGAGCCGCTGGCCTATCGCAGTGTGGGCCAACAGCTCGAATTGGCCGCCTCGCAGTTTGGCAGCGTAGAGGCATTGGTGTCCTGTCACGAGGACAAGCGATATACGTTCCGCAGCCTGATAGCCGAGGTGGATCGTCTGGCCGCAGCACTGCGAAAGCTGGGCCTGAAAAAAGGCGATGCAGTGGGTATCTGGGCGCCCAACTACGTGCAATGGTATCTGGGCATGATGGGGGCAGCGCGTGCAGGTCTTACCTCAGTGGGCATCAATCCTGCCTATCAGGCGCCCGAAGTCGAGTACTGCTTGAAGAAGGTGGACATCAAGGCTATTATAGCGCCAGAGACTTTCAAGTCGCAGAACTACTATGAGATATTGCGCAGCATCTGCCCAGAATTGGCCGACTCGGAGCCGGGCAAGATCAAGAGCGATAAGTTTCCACATCTTCGCGCTGTTATCATTAACAGCCAACAGAGTCTAAAGGGCGCGCTGCGCTTCGACGATGTGCTGGGTCTGAGCAATGCCGATGAACAAGCGGAGATTAGCAAACTGCAATCCCAAATCATTCCCGAGAGTCCTTGCAATGTGCAATTTACATCCGGCACCACCGGCAATCCCAAGGCGGCGGTGCTCTCCCATCACAACTTCGTCAACAATGGCATCCACGTGGGCAAACGCAACGAGCTAGCGGGCGAGCGGATCTGTGTCCAGGTACCACTGTTCCATGCCTTTGGCGTGGGCATCACCATCATGGCGGCCATGGCCACGGGCGCTACTCTTGTCCTGCCCGCTGCCGGCTTCAGTCCCGAGGACTCGCTCAAAGCGATCGCCAAGGAGAAGTGCACTGTGATACATGGCACACCCACGATGTATGTGGATCTGGTAGCTACGCAGCGCAAGCTGCAGGTGCCGCTAGGCAAGATTAAGAAGGCAATTACTGGCGGTGCCACGGTCTCGCCGCAGCTAATCCTAGATGTTAAGAGTGTGCTTGGTGTGGAGGCCATGCATAGTGTCTACGGCCTAACCGAGTCAACGGCTGTCATCTTTCAGTCTTTGCCGGGAGAGCAGGACAATCGAGTGCTCGACTATGTAGGCCATCTTACGGACCACGTCGAGGCCAAGGTCATCGATGAGCAGGGCTGTGTGGTGCCTTTGGGCCAGCCGGGCGAGCTGTGCGTTCGCGGCTACCTAACCATGCTGGGTTACCACGGTGACGAGGCGAAAACGAAGGAAATACTCGGAGACGACAATTGGCTTCACACAGGCGATCAGTTTGTGCTCGAGGAAGATGGCTATGGTCGCATCGTGGGCCGCCTCAAGGACATGGTCATACGAGGCGGTGAGAATATTTTCCCCAAAGAGGTTGAAGACTTTTTGAACACCCACCCGCAGGTGGTCGAGGCTCATGTAGGTGTACCCATCCCATTCCGCACTAAACCGTTGCTCACTTAATTCTGATTTCTTTTCCACAGGTAATTGGCGTTCCTGACGAGCGTCTGGGTGAGGAACTGTGCGCCTTTGTGCGCCTCGAGAGCGGCGTCGATCCCAAGTCGTTCACCAATGCCACTATGCGCACCTACGCCAAGGGCAAGCTGGCTCACTTCAAGGTGCCGCACTACGTGGTGCCAGTCGATTCATTCCCCAAGACCACCTCCGGCAAAATCCAAAAGTTCAAGCTGCTGAAGCAATTCGAGGACACTTTCCACCCGAAATACAGTCAGAGACAGGCTGCTCAAGCCTAAGTATTACGAGTAGTTCTGGTACTGGATTAACTCAGAGCAATAAAGATTTGTAATTAAAGTAAGCCAAACTTTATTTTATTTGCAATATTTGAATTTTGACGAACCGATTTTTGGCAAAACTCCACTCGACTCGTCCCATTAAATAGATTTTGCTTAGTTTTTGAAACAATTACTATTTTATTTTAGGTTTTGAAATGATTTAGCAAAAAATATTTTAGGTTTTCTTTCTATATAGCAGTTTGTGTTATACTGTTATACAATTTGCCGTTTGCTTTTCTCATAAACTCATTCACCTCCTATGGATCATACACACAAGTTCTGTTCAGTTGCTGTTGTTGCTGCTTCGGCTTCTGCTGGGCTCACACATAAAAATAACATAGAATATCTGAATATTACTTAAGAAATAATGACAATGCTGCGTGTTATAGACGTTTGCGTACCCATTTAGCTTATATATATTGACGACTTGCCAGATTAGATACAGTTGCAGATACCGAATACAATCAATGATAACAAATTAAAAATTAAAAGTTAACTAAATGCTAAGACCTACGAACTAAGTATAATATCTGATTTAGCCTATAGAGTAGATCAATCAACATGGATGATTCTCATTAATCCTGACGCTAAAAACTAAATAATAAATAATGTTTAATCAATTTCGCAAAACACACGCACAAAAAAATAATAATTAAAGCTTAAGTTCGGAGTCCCTAAACGGAACTGCGTAACATTTTACAATTTTAGATTTTAGTGGGCTTTAATTTTATAAATTAAGGACATCAAGTGATTTATTTTTGTTACTTAACTTTGAGCTCAATGGGAAATACGTGGGCTAGACTTATATAAGTTGATTTCTGGGTTTTATCTTTTGTGGGGCATAACATTTACGTTCATATATATATATATATACGATATCTCGAGTTGCTTTTTTCTTTTGTTTTCAGGCTAGAATACCATAATATGTATGTATACGTATAGTTATAAATGTATATTGTATATATAGTTAATAAGTTGAATGCAAATCTATTCATATACTGCTTGAGCTAAATGCCTAATCCTCAACGGATGTCGCCTGTCCTTGTTGTGGGGCAATATAATCTTTAGTCGGACAGCGTTCGAAACATTTTTAATTGAAGTAGTTCAAAGAGCGGCTCTACTATTATACTGACATACTGTTATACTACTGTTATATTACTATAAATCGAATCTTTTATTCAATTTCTTCAAGTGATTTTTTGATTTTTACGGATCGTACTCTTAAAATGTGCTACATCTAACACTCTGGTTTTTCCTTTCTTTTGTTTTATTTTATCAACCCATTTATCGATCTCTTGAGACTGCGACGGATCCACTTGCTGTGTGTATAAGTGTATATATGTGAGTGTGTGTGTGTGTGCATAAAATCTCTAATCTTTTCCATTCTTCCCTCTTATCATAGCCGTATATGAAAATCGATATACATATAAATATATATATGCATATATATTGTTTGCCCTCCTCATAGCTCGTCCACTGAAGCGCTCCTTAATGAAATTATTTACAGGAAACTTTATATAATTCAATTCGCAAATTATTAGGCTTATCTCTAGCTTTCTTTTCTCAATATTTTCTTGTTTATCATCTGCTTCTCTTTTGACTTCTCTCTTGTCCTTTGTTTTGCGCCAAGCTTTGCTTTAGTTTAATTTTAATTTTAGTTTTAGTTTTAGTTTTGTTGCCCATCCAATTGTTCTACAATCTATGCGCGCCCGCTTTAAAAGCTATCATCATCATAATCATCTTCATCCTCCTCATCGTCGGCGCCCACAATTAGCTCCTCCTGCTGCGCATCGGCGTCCATTTCGTAAGCCTCTTCTGCTGCCTCGGCAATTTGCTCGATAACGGCGCGTTCCTCGTAGCCCACATCGTCCTCAACGGTTGCCTGTCATGCGAGTGGATGTGATGCAGCAGCATCCGCATCGGCTGCATCCTCCGACCAGCTGACTTCCATAGGCGTGCCATTCAGGCTGTTGATCTGTTCGAGCATTAACGCCTCCTCGATGGACATGCGTGAAGGCTGCTTCTGGCGCTTGGAAAGCGTGCAGCCTGCCGCAGATGCTGTGCTGGATGCAGACGAGCTGCGCATATCCTCGGACGAGGCCGAGCAGCTTTCATCTTCGGAATTGGCGCCGCTAACCATGGCCTCGCCGGCTGATTCCTGTATCTCCTGGAATTTCTTCAGGGCCTTGGGATAGGCATCCACAGAGCCCATCAGCTTCATGGTGCTGCTGCGTGCACGCATCTCAACATTGGTCGAGACTTTCTGCGGCGAACTGGAGCACAGCTCGTCCGCATGCCAATCGGGCAGTGCCAATTCTTTCGGCTCCTGTGACTGTTGGCGCTGGGAGGTGACTTTGGTACAAACGGATTGGGAGCGGGCACGGCAAAGCGGGCGTGGTGATTCCACCTCCAGACCATGAGGGCGCATCACCGCTGTGGCCGACATGCTTTGCGACAGCGGATTGGGTCCAGGGCTGTGTCCATTCTGGCCATGTCCATTGCTGGCCGCATTTGCGCTCTGCGAGAGCTGGCGACGCTGAGTGGGGCTGCGCTCGCTGGTGCTGCGCAACGAGCCGGCACGTCGCACCAGTTTCGAGGCGGCCACCTGTGGTGTCTCATCGTCCATTTCGAGAACATAGCTAACCGAATCGTTGCGCTTGATGACGCCCATGATGACTGGCGTCGCTGGCGGCGATGTGTTGGTTGAATTGTGGCTCGACTCCAGGACAGAGCGTGACGAACTGCAACGACTGTGCGGGTGATTGAGGGAACTATCAAGCGAGCTGCTAGACAGCTCATGCAGTTGCGCTTGGACCAGCTGCAGCTGCTCGGAGCGCTGCTTCAGATGGTACTGCAATTCCTCCTTGTCGCAAGTGAGGCGCTTGCGTTTGATGCTCTCATAGTTGAAGGCCTTTTGCATCTCCTCCATTTGACGCTGAATATCTCTGCAAAGGGTGGATCAAACGGTTAATAGGGCGTCTGAAGGCTCGCATCGCGTTTAACACTTACTTTTCCCTTTCGGTTTTGGCCTCTAGCTCGGTGCGTAGCATCTCATTCTGCGACTCAAGCAGGGTCAGGCGATTGCACATGCTGCGCTGCTCCTCGTTCTCGCGCTTCAGCTCGCCATTCTGCTTGGACAGATCGGCGATCTTCTCCTGCTTCATGTCGAGGACGTGACGCAGGCTCTCGGCCTCGCTGCGCCACAGTTCGACGCTGCCGTCGACGTGGCCGCTGCTCCTGCTCGGGCTACGACGCTGCGATGAGCTGCGCAGCACACTGATCTCGTCCTCGGACAAGGCGAGACGATCGCGCAAATCGCGCTCATTGTGCTCGGTGCTGGCGCGCAGCGTTTGCAGCTCCTTGGTAATCTTCTTAATGCGCTCCTCCAGCTCCTCCTCGCGCTTGGCGCCCTCGGACAGGCGTTGGGCGTGTACGTTCTCCGCGAGTGTCAGCTTCTCGCGCAGCTGCTGCTCCGCTGCTTCGTGCTCCTGCAGGCGTGTCTGCAGCTGCAACACTTGCTGTTCGGCAGCCGTGAGTTGCTGCTGCTTGTGGCGCAGCTGATGCGCGATTTCCTGGTGATACGTTTGCAGCGCCTGTTTCTTCTCCTCATCCTTGGCCGCCAACTGGGACTCGAGCTCACGGAAACGCTCCTTGGCAAGCAGCTGCACCTCCTGAACCTTCTCATGTGCTGCAGCAGAGGAAGTTGTCAAGTTAGTTTAGCTGTCGATCGAACTCTGGTCTTATGTTAGGCTTACCTTGCTGCAATTCCTTGAACTGCAAATGTTCCCACTCCTGTTGACGCTGTGACCACTCGATTTCCTTCTCGCGCAGCTGCTGACGCAGCTCTTCGCAGCTGTGTTGCGTCTGCTGTAGCAGCGCCATTGTCTCCTCCAGCGAAATCTTCGCCTTGCTCTCCTGACAGCTCAGAATTTCCATCTGCAAAGCAAATAACAAAATTAAGTGAGATCTCTTCAAGGTTTTGGCTACCTGCCATTATTGGCATTTCAAGTGTTTTTCTGGTAGTTCGCACTTTGGGTTATTGTTCGCGCGAATGGCTTTACGATGGGAATTTTCCCTGGGCCATAAAAGCCAGGAAATACATTTTACGACGAGAGAAGTATTCTGAGGTATCTGCAGCTTAAGCACTATGCACTCTAGTAAACATTTTTTAAGCACTTTTTAAATAAAGTTTAATGAAGTTATTTTCAGGAATTTCTATCAATTACGATTGAATTTGACTTAAGGATTGTGGCCTGCTTGGGTTTCGATTAAGGGAGTGAGAGTTGCCAGATTATCAAGGCAGTTTTTCAGTGATGCTGCAGATGAAAGGTATTTCCTATATAAAAAATCATTCTTCAGCTAGTTTTCCATATGGGAATTATTTGCTTAACTTCATTCATTCTTCAACCACTTCATTCAAGAACTTTGTACATAAAAGCAAAAAGAATTTGCCTATGCTATATGAATATACACCTATGTTCCACTCATAAATATGGAAATAGTAACCAACAATTTCACAGTTACACTCGAAGCATAGCAAAGTATTAAGGCATCTTTTTAAAGTAACTCAAACCGAACATCTATCTATCTAAGCTCCAAGTTCCATTACCTGTTGCTGTTCGCATTGCGTGGCAGTTGCGATATTATCCATATAGTTGTTAATGCTGCCCGTCCAGCTGATCAAATCAAAGTCCATCGTTTCGGCGAATAGGTTTTCGTTGGGAAACACAAAATTGTCAAACATTTTTGTAAAAACGAGAGAGCACAAACGTGTTGAACACGACAAATACTTCAAGTAGACTGACGACAGGACGATTTCTGTGGCTGCTTTTATAGCGCGCAGGTAGCGGCTGGAAGGGACTGCGCGGATCAAACCTGCAGCCAGGTCAAATGGCGAGCCAAATATTTACAGGGGATTTAGAAACTAGCGAAAACTAACGCAAAAGGATTTACAATTTTTATTCCAGTTGAAGCGCAAGAAAAAAATATGAAAAATTTGCAAAATCTTGGGTGTAACCCTCGGTGGACCGAAGGGCGTTTTTGGCTGCTTCGGTCCACGCCTCAAGAGCCTCGACTCGTCTGGCTTAGAGCTACCTCATGTGGTTTGGTCACATATCAAATGTATAACCAAAAAATTAGTCACAGACTGAGACTGAGCCACAATCCTCTTACATTTTGGGGCGTCCCTCGAGGGTTGTATTAATGCACTTCAATTTGCGCACCTCCCTTGCTACGCTTTGGGTGTACGCGTGTCGAAGTCTGAGCGCCTCTGCTGGCACTACACATAGGGCATAGCAAGCCAGTAGCCTGAATCCTTCGAGTACTTGACTCTTAAATTTGATTAGCTCTAGTTCAAATTGCAATTCTCACGTTTCAATATGAATCTAATGAAAAGTCAAGAGACGTTTTTGTTCTTTGAAGCGTTTCAATTTGATGTGGTTCAAGTGGCTTTTGAGGAGATTTATACAGAACTTAAGTTAAGATTAGGAATGTGCATAAATCGTTCCGTGGTTGTAGAAGCCTAATCAAAATCGTTTATATTATACATGAAAGAGGCAAAATACTTAGCCGAACATATTTCATTGGAAACTATTCAATCTATTCGATTGCAACGGCATTTGCCTCAATACGCTTCAGTTTCCATAGCATAGTAATACCCAAAGACTAGACTCTGTTTTAGTATTGTTAAATGTAGTTGCATTAGGGAGCTTCCAATTGTTAAGTTCTGTTGCGCTTGGCTTCTCTATAACAGCTGCTTTTACGAGCAACGAGAAGCAATCGACTTTAACACTAGACAAATTACAATTAATCATTATTTAGATACTATTGGAATATGACTAAATATATCTCTGACTAACACAGAGCATGAAATCTGAGAGCAGTAGACGTCATATAATGACAATAGTTATATGAATTGTATGAATCACAAAGATAGGGCATTGTTAAATTACAGCTTAATCTTGTAAGACTTGTATAGATTATGTATACAAAGTCTAGAATCTAGTTCCGTATAGTCCCTTGCTCAACATCTCCATATCTAGGCTCTTGCTAGCTATTTCTCTCTCTTTTCCTCTCTCTTTCTTTTTCTGTGTATCTTTCTCTTTATGCTTTTTCTTGCTGTTGCTCTTGATTTTGCTCTCTCTCTACCGCTCTCTCTCTGTCTATCTCTTCTCTTGCTTTTGCTCTCTCTTTCTATCTCTTCTCTTTTTTCTCTCTTTCTTTCTCTATCACTCTTCCCTCTGCCTTGCTTCCTGTAACTCTTACTCTCTATTTTCTCATTCTCTAACTCTTTCTCGATGTCTCTCTAAACCCTTTCTCTCTCTAACTCTTTCTTTCTCTAACTCTTCTTGATTTTGACCGAGCTCTAACACTTGCTCTTTCCAGCTCTCTCTCTCTCCCCAGCTCTCTCTTGCCAGCTCTTCCTGTAACTCTTACTCTCTATTTCTCTTCAACTCTTTCTCATTCTCTAACTCTTTCTATGTCTCTCTAAATCTTTCTCTCTTTAACTCTTTCTTTCTCTAACTTAATTTAGCCCTTGCTCAGACACTTGCTCTCAATCTATCTCTCCAGCTCTCATTCGCTCTCTCTCCCCAGCTCTCTCTCACTCTCTTGCCAGCTCTCTCTCCAACTATCTTTCTAGCTCCCCTCTCTCTCTCTCTCTCTAACTCTTCTTGATATTCCCTTGCTCTCGCTCTTTCTCTGTCCAGCTCTCTTTCTAACTGCTCTCACGCGTTCATTAGTTTCCTTGTCTCCAGCCAGTTAATAGTCGCGACAAGTTGATCTGCATATTAAAAAGATTCCGACATTGATATACATATAATCTAGACGCACGCCCGTTGTCTGGCGACATGATTAATAATTTGGATGTCGTTACGTGTCTGCGTCTAGTTCATGACTTCGTTTTCGTCGACGTCGCTGCACTACCTGAGTAGCTGCAATTAAAATGTGACTCATGCTGTCCAGGACACGTCAGGACACTTCACTCGCCGACTGCACTTAATCCTTTGACAGACTCGCAGCGTCTAAATAGCAATTAGATATTGTGAAATTTCTAGAGCAATTCTGTGAGCTGTGACATTGAGCGACGCGAGTCGTGTCGTGTCCTTTGCATTTGTCCTCAATAAAACGCGCTTCTCTCAACATATCCGGCACAAATAAACGAATGTCCTTGTTCGGGCATTTTCCTGGTTTTCACACTGCAGTGTGAAATATGAAATCCGAAATCTGAGTGGATCATAATATTTAAATAAATATTTATGTAGCAACAGCAGCCGTTGAGACTTTTAGTGGGAAAACAACAATTTCTTGAGTTGGGTCATCGAGAAATTCCGCTGAAATTTGCGCCGCGTGTTGAGTGTTTGTGCAACAACCGCATGCAACAAGTTAGCCAAACATTGCGGCAACATTTTCAACTACCAGCACGAATCTGTTGTGTAATCAATGGGATTTTAAGGGGTTTTTTCCGCCTCGTGTTGTGAAAAGTTTCCACCGGCTCAAGGGGGGAAATACAAAACATAATCGAGTCATTTAGAGATTAGCGGCTAGGATATTCAGAGTAGAGTTGGAGTTATTTTAAAGTGCTTCTAGATATATATATTTAGGAGAATATCATTCTTTTTCATAGATTTCAATTGATTTTGATTCTATTCTTCATAATTCATCTCTTTCTTTCTGCAGTCTGGTTCTTTGTTCTTTTTTTCCTGTTGTTAAATACTTTTTTTGTCCTTTCATACTTTCATTATTCATGGCAGTCCATACAACATGTTTCCCGATTAGCAACTATTATCCAACACAAGGGAAACTTTTGAATGCAAATACATTTCAAATTTCTTGCAAATAGATTTGTGTTTCTATATCCTCTTTTACTTCACTGACTTATCGTAAGCATATGAGTTGCCGTTTGGTATATCCAGTGCAAGGATTTACGCAATTGTGCATCAGATAGAAGCAGGCGCATAACTCTCGAATTGTTTTTTCCTCTTTCGCTACCTCTGCTGCTGCGCTACCTGCCTTCTGCGGTTGCGAAGTCAGCAGACAAACAACATCGTAAACCGATTTATAAAGGGGAGAGCAATGCGACGCAGCGCGCGATATTTGCAAATGTTAAAATAATGTTTGTCGCGATTTTATGATCTTGTTATTGATATTTAATAGCTAACCAAAGCCAGCCACAGGTAGCTCAAAAACTGTGCGCATCACAGAAAAATTTATTAAGTTGGGTCAAGTTTGAGAAATATGATCAGATCTGTCTGCTCTAAATTATGTATAAATATTTATAGTTCTCTGTAAGAGACTTGCCGGGAAAGCGGCAGAATGAGAGAGGGACGAAAGCAGATGTAGAGCAACTATTCCATAAATTCTACAGATGATACCTCGGATAGAAATTAAATTTGTTTTTTATTAGACTTATGGAGTAATCCTAGCAAATATCGCAATGGCCTTTTGTGCTGTTCCGGTACGTCAAAAGCCAGTTGAGAATATGAATAGAATATGAAAACCCTGACCTGATGGACAGAATATGATTTCATTTCTAGTTTCAGATGCACATTAAGCTGTAGTGCTTCAAGAGCATTCGAACAAGGAAAGTCCGATTCTTTTCTATGGGTATTTCATAATCAGCTAAGAGTTGTCACACCATATGTATAATCAATCGAATAGCCCTAAAAAACTTGTATATTGTTAAACTTTATGCATCTACAGCATGTTCTACTTCTGCATAGCCCAAAGAAGGTAGCTTAGGCTAGCAGGTAGTCCGAGTTAAACCAGAACGAATTAAAAGACAATTGATGCTGGTTTATGAACTACATTTTCGACACCTCCATAGAGTTTTATAGAGCAAAGGGCTGTGGAAACTGTTAAAACTCACACGTGGCCAAGATAGTTCACAGAAATAACCCGACGCATTGAGAATGATAACAATTAATTGAAGGCCCAAAAGCTGAGCTCACACCCTTTCACAAAATAAGTAAAGGAAAAACACAAAAGATGCGAAGCAGTTGGCCGGGTATCTATCTATATAGAGCTGGGCATCCGCATGTAGAAAATTTGAAAACAGGCCAAAACTTTGCGTTTGCCAATTTTAATTAGTGCAAACAGAAAAAGTGGCCCCGGCTCAGTGTCTGGTAGAGCCGGATCCGGTTTCAAGGGATTGAGGGTCTTAGCGAACGGTGCAACAATTAAACAAAATTAGCTCAAATTTAAGCGCAGCTTAACGCAAATTTCTGCAGCGCAGATTTCGGTCCTTTATTAGAGCAGGTGAGACCTGAGGCTTGTGCCAGGACAAAGGGAATCAGCAGTCGAGCATAAAACTGAACAAAGTTTTTGACAAACTGCCAGACTCTCGGAAATCTCTCGGTTCGCCGGGCAATCCCTGGCGCTAGCTTCGTTAAATCTCCTCGCCTCTGTCTCTCTCTCTCTGTCTGATTAACCCTCTCTCATTCGTCTGCTTTATTGTTTTCCATTTAGTTTTAAACTTTTGTAAAACTCTACGTAGACTCACCTGCTTGCACATGAATTGGATGACAATGGTGAGGCCCACAGTCTGGCTTTCCTTCTCCTTCTGCCATTCGCTATTCGCCTCGAAGTATTTGGCCAAACGCTCATAGTTCAAATAGCCATTATCCAAGTAATGCTTCAGCCCGGGATATTTGCTGGCCATGTTGACCATACTGGGCTGCAATGTGGCTGTGCTCTGGGAGTCATTAAGACTCTGTGAGGGCAGTTAGTAAACAGAGATGCAAATCGTTTAGTTATGCCATGTAGATAATATCTAATTATTATGTTATATATTATATATTCCAATTAATTTCATTGCTTGTTTTTTTGTTAGATTTTTAATTTCAATCACAATTGTGACACATGTCTAAAATACTTTTTGAATGGGCGCATTCAACAGAGATAAAAGAATATCTAAGCTTTCCATAAATAATACACACTTGCAGTCAAGAGTGCCCGACTAAAAGATACCCTGCAAGTAGCCATCTCTCTAGCTTGCTAGGCTTAAGAGATCAGTTCATTTACACGAAGATTCTGTATCTTCATGACTAGCTCTCTAGCTCTAGGACAGACAGCCATGCAGTTGGACAGATGGACATGACTATATCAACTCAGTTTGCCGCATTGTTCAGTAATATGTATATATAATTTAGGGACTTAGCCACGCCTTCTTCTGCTTGCTTTTGCATAAATTTCGACAAAACTTTTAGACATTTTAATGAGCTCTGCAATTGTGAGAGCTAGCTTAAAGTAATTATTATATCAACTACATAATATGCTTTATATACTACAAATTATCTTATGTATTCTATATAATATATAGCTCATCATATGTATTTCGATACTTACCGCATTTGTACTGGATATTGTGGCTGGGGTTTCATTGCAAATCGCTGCCTCCTGGAGCTGTTCATCTGTTTGTGATTGCACTTCCTGCTGTTGCTGCTGCGCCTGCTGCTGCTGCTGCTGTTCCAGCTTGCAGTCAATTGGCTCTGCGGCTTTTGCTGGCTCTGGGGTGTGGCTGCCGCAACGTTTCACCTTGGGCGCCTTTTCGACAACGCAGCTGCAGCTGCTGTTGACCGTGCCGCAAACGCAGGCCACCTCATTATTGAGGGAGACGCGCTTGGAGTCACGCGGCGTTTGGCCGGAGGACAAGTACAGGCCAAGTCCATTCAGCTCCTGCAGTTCCGTTTGGTCCACACCGGAACGTAGCGATTCTGCAATTGAGGACGGAAACAGTTCACAACGTGAGTTAGCTTGTCGAATATATAAAAATATGGATTAAGTAAGAGCTAAGAGAAAGTTGCTGATGATAACAATCACAATAATGATGAGCTAATGATGAGTCAGTTCACCAAAGCTAGTTCACTCATTTCAGATGAGTAATTGCGGTGGCTGACAGCAATTGTCTGGGATCACAGACAGTCGGACATAAATCTCAATGACAAACAACAGACATGAAATCGTAGAGCCGACGAAAGCGAAAGCACAGCAAAAAATATGTCTTCATCAATTACGCAGATTATTATAGGTGCGAGCGTGGCCACGCCCACAAATGGGGTTAGAGGCCTCTGGAGACAGCAAGCAAAAGCCTCATCAATAATGAAAAACTTCAGATGAGATCAGAGACGAACGGGTTAGAGCGAGACGGACACGATTGCTTCAAAGTTGAGCTAACTCAATGGGCGTTCCATTAGCCTACGACGATCCTCAGTCTATCGCCTCTACAGTCATTACTCTCGCTGTAGACCAAGTTTCTCCCTCGCCTCCCTTCCGTCCTCTGCAGGTAAAACATAACTTACACGACTTCCTTACAGCGCACGCGCCAAAATAATAGCCTTTGGTCGTGTTACCGCATCCACTTATGGCTAAGTGCCATACAAAATTGTCAACGCCAACCAGTGCAACCTGTACCAGCACAACCTGAACATGCTCGAAACATAAATTGTAAATTGTCTCTTGAATTTCTTCCTCGTAAATCAGTTTCTTAATATGAAAATTGGTGTTTGTAAATGTTAGAGGTAAAAAATATAATTATGATTGCTTAAATGTTTTCGTAGCGAACAATTTTTATTAATTTATCATTTATAGAAAATTATTTATTGTAAGCTCCTTTAGTTGCGGCACGCCCCCTCTAGCAAAACCTGCCGCTGAATTACCTGACACAGGTGAGTGCAGGAAAAAATGCCGCTGAGCATTAAGCCAATTACTCAAATTGGCTGTCGATGAGGCGCTGACAGTGGCCAATTAAATGAACTGGTCAACTGGTCAACTTAAGCCCAAACACAAGCCACAACAGAAAACCAAGCAAACTAAGTGGGGAAAAACTATGGACAGACAGAAAGTTGTTGGGTCTAAGTTGTGTAGAGTTTTACGATAGTTCATGTAGATGTAGAGCTAAAAGTGTTAATACTAACGATGAAAGGCAGAGATTATAGAATACAAATTTAAAGTAATGCTAATGACAATGACAATTAAGAGAAGCAGAATAATTAATGATGAAATAATAGTGATAAGGAATAATACAAATTGTCTTTGTAAAGATGATTAAAATAACAATGATCAAAACATTCATAATGATAATGATAATGATATGGATCAATATCAATATCAATATCTATAACTATAAATATATTAATATAGATAGTGATAGTGATAAACGGAATATAATCCATAAATACAATTTTTAAATACAACTATAACAATGACAATGATAAGAACTATCACAATGACAAAGTCAATTATAATAAAGATAATGATGACAATACTAATGATATTGGTATTGATTATAACAATGATAATAAGGGCTAACAAAATGTGTATGATAATAAAGGAATTTTCTATTGCTAAGTTAACTTTTTCACTATTCACTAGGAATTTCCCTTTATTTAGCAGTCAGATTTCCAAAATTCCTAAGCCAATTCCCTAACGACCATTAGCAATAAATGGTAAGAAGACCTTGTCTCAATGGCACACCTGATGTGAAAGTCGCCTGTTGCACGTTGCAAGCTGCAAGTTGCGAGTCGCGCGTCGCTAACTCAATGACGACGCACGCCTTGAGAATGGTGCACTTGGGTCTGGCACACGACGATGACGGACTCGCCCGTTTTGGTATTCCAAAATTCTGGAATGGCAATTAGGCAATTAAATGGCATTAGTTACGCGACATTCGATTGCCGAAGGCCGCCATTAAATATATATATATATATATATTAGCCATGACACTGACTGATTGACTGTGCTTGGACGGTGCATGCGAGAATTTTCCCGCATTTTGCGTTCTCACGGATCTGCGCTGCGTGCAACAAGTCGCTGACAGGAGCGCAATGGGCGGCCGCTGCAAGCGGCGACTGTGTTTTATGACCAGCTAACCGACCACCTCAGTAGTTATTCGCTCGAATAGGCCGAACAATTTTCCTTCATTTCCATTTTTTCCCACCTTTTTGTGACTGGACTTTTATGGCCGACAGGAAAAACCCAGTCGCCTGTTTCATTCAGAATTTTCAGTGCGCATTGCCTGTGCGTGTGGACTTTCCCTACATTTAATAGATTTTCGTCGTTGAGCCACAAATTAGTCCAAGTAGAGTTTAGAGTGGAGGAATACAACGAAAGGATTGTATTTATATAAATACATTTAAGCTTTACAGTGTAGATAAAATTAACAATAATATAAATAAATATAAAAAATAGAAAAAAATTAATTTTTATAAAAAAATACTCAGTTAAAATATGTAATATATTTAATATATTCATATTTTATTTTTTGGTTTAGGAATAATATAGGAATATATATATATATATATATATATATATATATATATTATTTGCAACATTTTTATTGAATTTTCTTTTTTGTTTTTCTATAAAAACATGCTATCATTTAACAAGCAAATACCAATTGTCATTCTCGATCAAAAATCTTTAGCTTACCATAGCTAAAAATCTTTATCCTTATCTATTTTTATTGATCATAAAAATATCAAATATAATAAAAAATAAACCTAAATATTTAAGATTATTAATTTAAAAAATACTTTTTTATACTTAGCAAATATCAGTTCTAAATATCTGTATTTATCTTTGGTTATATTATTTAAAAATTTACTTGAAAACCTCTTTATAACTTGAGTTTTTCTAGAAACCTAAGTTACTTTGTTATTTTTCACTATTAACTTTACTTTTTGAGCAGGTTTAAAAAAGCAATTTCAGCATTTATTTACTATATTTTTACTATTTGTTTTTATTTTCATAGACCATTGCTCTCTTCGCTCTCTAAATCTATTCACATTAAGTCTATACATTTCGAGCTATAGCTCTGCTATATTATTCTTTATTCTATTAGCTCTATATGTTTGGTCAGCCAAGCTCATAATGAGGGTCTTTTGGGTTTTTTGATTTTCAGTTTTTGGTTTTTGGTTTCAGCTTGTCAGCTAGAAATCAACATGTGTCAACGCCTGCTGTCCATGCACACTGTGCTGCACAGTGGGCCGATGTTTAGCTATTTGACAGGCGCTGTCAAGCGTTGACTGACCAATGCACACACACACATATTTGAAATTCCAAAATATCTTATTTGGCATTAGGCCGCAGCAGCAGCAGCAGCAGTCGCCTAAGTGAGTGAACTTCATGAAGTATTCACATACGCATTCACATGAGCATTCACAATCGCATTTGTTGCTTTAGCCACATTTGGAAAATGCAACCTGTCTTGGCCCATGGCGACCCACAAAAGTGCAACACACAAAACCAACAACAAAAAACAAGTCAACGCCTTTAATTAAAACTATAAAACACCAAAAGCTTTAAATGAAAATTTTTAAAACTAAAAAACTGGCAACTGGCAACTGGCAACTGGCATTTCAATTAGCTGCGTTTCGAAAATAATAAAAACTCACTTGAAAATTTAACGTCAGATTTCTGTTTAGTTTCCAGCGAATGAGAGGGAGAGACAGAGAGTGGGAGGGAGGGTGAGCTATGGAGGCTAGCCTTTAGGGGGAGCCTAGGTTTATTGCTCCCCGCCGTTTATTTAGCTGCGTTTTACTGTTTTAATTGCAATTTAACTGCCAACTGCTTAGTGCAAATGACAGAGCGAGAGAGACACTAAGTGTAAGTGAGAAAGAGAGAGTGAGAGAGAGAGCGGGCACTAGTTAGTGTGGACAATCGCCCCATTGAGAAGAGTCGAGGCATTTACTGTGGGCGTCAAGTGGAATTAATACAAATTGCTTAAGAGAGAAAAAATGCGCAAAATGTGTAAAAGTAATGCACATATATACTAGCATATATACATATTATATTCTTCAATTGGGAAATCTTAATTTATCACATAAGTTGACTAAACATAGCTGACATCATAATCTGAGAAAATCAAAAATTTGTTTAATTTAAAAGTTGTTTTTACTATGGCGAAATTTGCATTTCGATTTTTAATTTGGCGTTGCCACTATGCAGAAAACAAGTAGTTGACAGCTGTCAATTTGGCTTATTATAGCAAACAGCTTTACGTCGTATAATAAAAACTTCTGCTTGAAATTGTGCAACTCTCGTTTTCATGTTTTTTTTAACCTTCTCAACACTGTTCTCATGTTTCTCTTTGAAACTTGTCAACTCTGCTTTTTATGCACTTCTATGGCTCTATACAGCTCTACTCCTTCCATTTACTACACTTCAGAGTAGAGCCCAGAATCAAATGCTATAAAAATTACTCTTTGAACTTGTCCAACACTGCCTTTCCAAGATCTGCAGATTTACAAAGCAATTAATCAAGACACAAAAAAACTATAAAAGGAAACTTAAAAAATTTCAGTAAAAGATAAAGTAAGATTTTCTGCAGAAAATTGGCATAAATAACAGTAAATTTAGTAATTTACGTGATAAATAAAATGTGCGCTGCTTTTTTTTTATAAATTTATTTAATGTAAAAATAGAAATTTTATAAACAATTTGCAGTTGTAAACAATGCGTGGCGAAAAGAAACTAATAAAAGTGACCGCAGAGCGGAAGAAGTTGTCAGATAGAAGAGAACGAGAAAGAGAAGAAGAGGAAGAGGCAAAAATGTGATGAAAGGTATCGAATGAACGAATGTCTGCTGAATGTCAATCAGAGAAAGAAAGATGAACCTGGCCGAAGAGATGAATGATTGAAGGCAAACTTTTGAGCAATTGACGAAAGACGAAGACATCTGGCAACTGACAGCAGAGAGAAGCATTAGCTCAGCTCT